AAAAAAAAGTAAATATTGTGTCAAGGCTCATTGTTTCTTTAAATGAGGTGGTGTGAGGAATGTTTAGAGTGGACGCATGATGAAAAATATATCTGTACTGTGGATAATCTACCGCCTTGTGTTTAAAAAGCTGTGCCATCCGTCTTGTGCGATGTCAGTAGAAGCCACAGTAAATGTTATTATTGTAATTGTGCCAAAACTTTCTGTGTTATGCTACAGGCTTGCAGAGGTAAAGTACAAATGAAATAAACAGGTTTAACTGGGGTTGCTTTGTACCTGTTTGTTACCTTTTGCTCTGCAACAGGGTGTGGATCGTGGTGGTGAAAGTCAGTCTCTTCAGTCGCTGCCCCCTCAGATTAGGTAAAAGCTAAATGATGTTATATAAGCCTACAGTATAGCTCTCTTTAAAAGTGTAACATGCAGAGTTGTTCATGTAGTGGCTGCCTGTCCTGTCTAGACAAGTTTAAAATCAAATGTGATGCTGGTAGCACCAAGAGCTCTGAGATACAGTGTAGTTATTCCAAAACAGGTGGCTCATGCTGTTTTGTTCTTTTCCCGAGTTAATTTTAGTCACTGAAATTCTTAGAAGTACTGTTTTATATATTTTCTAACCTGTCTTCAGTACTCCTCCTCAAGTCTTTTTTTAGGAGATATCAGGAGAAGCACTTTTTAATTGGATTATATAACAGAATTATAAAAGAGTTAGGAAAAAGCACAACGCTACGGTCAGCTTTCTGTCTCAGGAGTGGCACAAAATACAAAGTTACGTTTTCTCCAGAATTAAATACTTAGATCCAGTGACTTTGTGTCTATCAACGCAAATCACCCATAATGCTGTGTAATGGGTGTAACGTCCCAACAGCAGACACAGCTGCTGGTGCAAAGGGACAGAGACAGATATCAGCAGAGCAGCTGAACGTAAATGGCGTTAAGTTGTAATATTTGCCCTTTTTTCCCGCTTATAAATTTCTTCATAGCCCTACAGACTTATAGAGACTGTACTTGTGTTATAAAGAGTCAATGACAAGATAACGGTTGCAACAGTAGGTTAATAACACACATTAGTAATACACTGGAGCATATGCTGAAAATGTAATGGACAGGAGTTGCACAGCATCTCTTTACTTTCACTATCTGAAAATGATACCAAGCCAGCTGAAACTAGCTAATAACTGAACTGTAATGGTGGCAGAGAGTTCTCAGTCCAGCTCTGCTCTAACTGATTCATCCCACACAGCACGTTTGTATTGGTTTGACCTCTTGTGGACACAATACAAATATTATATTCATTTAACACTGTGCAGGTGATTTTCTTTCTTTTTCTTAAGGAACAATGAAATGTTATTTTGACAGCCTATGTTTGTTTGCTTAGCAAACAGAGTTCAGTGCATCATAGCAGAACTGGACTGTTACTGTTACTGTTACAATGAAAAACAGCAGAGTTGCAAATACCAGGACACTGAAATGTAGAACTGGAGCAGAAATGAGATCTCACTAGTTTCCTGACAGTTGCCCACTAGCCACTTTATTGGTTCTTCTGAAGGATAAATAACTTGCTATATTTTAAAATAATATTAGTAAGCATTCAAAGCATTAACCATCCTTTTGAAGGTATTTTCCTAAATAATCATGCTTAGCCAAGTGATTTTTAGTGTAAAAGCATTGGGCTTGTGCAAAACCATACACTCACGCATAGACCAATGCACCAAAATCAATATACAGCATTTGTATTATTTAGGACTACAATTATCATTTGGTCAGTTATTTTTTGATTAAATAAGTAAGCTACTTTCAGCTGCCCTCTTGCCACAGGGGGTAACAGAGTTTTACACTGGATGTCCTTACTGACACAACCTCAAAGGAGAGATCAGTGACTCCGGCTGGAATCTAACCAGTGACCTTTTCCTTTCCAAGCAAATTATATCACCAGTTTTTATCATATCATATCATAATGTTAGAAAGTGGTTGTAAATCTTATTCAGAATAAATTTCATATTGCTACATTACACTACTGCTAATACTACTTTGTAGACTGTAACTGTGAAAATCAAACAATATTGGACGAATCCAAAATGAAACAAACCGGAGATATCATGTCCGTGTATTAGGCGTGTTCAAGAAGCCACCCAGCATTCCTCTCCAGCAACCTAATGTGGTTCCCTGAAAGTCCCGCTGGTCTCGTTTTGGCTTCCTGCCTTCACATACTAGATTAAAGGGTTACTGCTGTTCACTATACCTTCACCCACTTAATCCAGTTTGCAGCTATACTAAGCTTATCACTAAACACCTTACTACTTATATTCAGCCTAGTTTTATTTTCTAATTAGCTCACCGATCAGCAGGCTGTATGTGAAGTATGCTAACTGATCCATGCATATGAGGCCATAATAAATGTTCACGTCAGTAGTGGCTGATGATCATGTTGCTGTCTCTATAGTGTCATTCATGCACATTAGTAAGAAGCAGGTAGATGGGATAGTTGTAGCCAGTTGACGCAGAGGGCATCAGATCATATGAACTCCTTGGCTCCAAATGCTTATCAATAATTCATTAGTAGACTGGCTGACAATGAAGACTGATGTTTGTGTAACTTGTTTAGGAGTCTGCTCACTGTGGGGCTCAGGGATGCCCCAGGTGGCTTGATGGGATTCCAGAGGGTCCCCATCTAACCACTGTGTTTTAATCACTTCAGGATATAATTTTACAACCGAGGTTTGGTGGAAACTGCAAAAAATGTCCTATGCTGGCTTTTCTAACTAATGCCCTCACAAAAGAGTAGAGATGGAAGACTTCATTGTGCAAATAAAGTCTAACTTGGCTTAACCATAAGGAAGTGCCTAAAGGTTAAACTAAGGTAATCAAGCCTGAAGAAAGGGTTACAGTCGTGAGTCCTACTTAATAGTACAACAGTCCATTTTTACGTGCTTGGGTTCAAACAGCAGAATTCACACTCCAGGAGTGCCACTGCTCTTCAGATTACAGCACTTGTGAATAAACGACTTGTAATTTCCTTCTACATTGCATAGGCATGCCATGGTATGCCTGAAAAAGGCAGTTTTTATGCTAAAGAAGAGCCAAGTTGTTGTGATTCTCAGTAGTGG